GTAGGAAAGAAAGTGCGTTCTATTCATATGTCCAAATTCCTCGGCTTTGAGAATGTTATTTCCACGTATCAGGATGATAAATTCAACTTGAGAAAGCTATCATGGAGACTCCGAGAATCATTACAAGTGTGTGGGTCTAGGAAACACGTAGTATATTCTCTGGGACGTTAAGTGGATTGACAAGTTAATTAATAGACAGCAACAGTCTTAAATGAAACTAGGTTGTAAGTTCCTCAGCTTTCAGAGATCAGTGTTTTTTCTTTCTTTGACTTTTATTCTTCAATTATGAAAACCTTAGTGTTATAAATATATTCTTTGTTGCTGTTATAAAAGTTGCACTTCTGACATCGGCAAGGGGACAAAAAAGACAAGAGACCAAAACGAAAAAAGAGGAAAGGTGGGAGGAAAGAGGACTTGAAACGATTGAAAGGAAAGAAAGGTTTGAAAGAAAAAGGGGGGGGGGGGCGAAGGTGATCCCACTAACGCTATCATTATAATTAATTTTTTCTCAAGTGTAAAGATAGGCCTATTACTTGGTGTCTTGATCCCAATGCATAATTGTAGGGCTTGCCACCTTACTGCCCTTTGACGCATAACAATATTGTTTTGTTGTTATTGTTGTTGTTGATTTTTGGGAGGGTGTTGTTTTGGGGGGGGGGGTGTGGTTTTTTTTTTTTTGTTTTTTTGGGGGGGGGGTTGCGTCCTTTCTTTTCTCTGCTTTTAATCGCAATCAAATAAATCGAAACGTTTGACTTCCAGTTAGGATCTGAAATTAAAATGACGGCAGTCCTTTTCTTCATGTTTAGAACGAACTACATATTTCATAATTATTTTTGTTATTGTTTGTTTGTTTGTTTCATGGATAGTCATCTGTCGCTGTGGCCTAGTTATTACTTATACCACATATTAGTGCTTCTGAAGCTGTCATTTATGTTTCCACTGTTTCTACCGCCTTTACTTGTATGATCATTTACCATTGTGTGTTACTGCTTTTGTTTCAAATTAGCGCCGTGTGTTGATCGTGAATTAGCGTTTTAAGATGTAAGGTATACTTGGCGTCATTTGACCCTATATGATGTTATATTCATTTTTCTTTCATGTGCTTCATGGAAAGATTTGCTTGACCTTTAATCCTTCCCTCGAGGAGAGCCATTTTTGTCTGAGTGGAAAAAATGGTTTCTTCTAGTAAACAATTTTGAAAGGGGGGTGGGAGAAGGTATGGAGTTCTAAAAGTCGTTATAAGATCACGCGATCTTAGAACGTTTGCGTGTACCATACGTAATCTGTCTGTGTGATCTGTAAAACCCTCTGTCTGAGCGTAATATTTGAACTGTTTTGGAGTGAGTACCGTAAAGTCGGTTTTATAGTTTAATCATTCATTTTGTGTGGTTGAAGGATTCTGTCAAATCTGTCAAACTAATAATCTATTTATCAACTTAAGGTGTCGGCCTCGTTTCCCAATATCAGTGTAACCTTGTGTCATTGTGTTCCTTCATAAACCAAAACAAACTAACAAAAATGTTAATAGAATACTAAAACCATCACAACCGGAGAAGTGGATTAGATTTCAAGTTGATTTAGCAGAGGTTCCCATTATTCTTAATTCATCGCAGCTTGATAACAAAGCTTTTATTTTCATGCTGAGATGATTGCTTTTATACCCCTGTGCATTCTCACTTAAACATAATATTGTCATAAACGTTGGTGCAACACGATTTCCGTTGTGACATTTTTAATGGCTAACAGTTGCTATTTGATAATGGCAACGTTGTTCTCTTTTTTTTTAGCAGTCATAATCTGATCCTTATAATACCACTTCATGTAAAGAGCGGGGCACTTTTTAAAATCCAGTTGCATTCAAAAGATTATTGATTTAAGAAATGGGGAAACTCTAAAAGTTGTCTGGCCTAAGTGTACATTGCCATGATGACGTTCCGACTTGTGGCGTCGCTGGGTAGTTCATCCATACGATTTTCTGGATAAGAAATGTGCGTTTCTGATGTAGCTTGTGATGTACCTTGCACTTGCACTAGTGACACGTTCTTTTTGCACCATAATAATATGCTTTGAGGCTCTCATTCTGTTTGCTGCTGTTTGATTATTTGTTTGTTTGTGTGTTTGTTCTGGGGTATTACATTTGGTCGTCTTCTAAAGACTGAAAAAAGTATACCTCCAGCCACTGCAGCGCACTAACCTATGAATTTGACAAATCTGAAGGGGTTGGGGGTTCGAGTCCATTAATTGTTTATTCTTCCTAGAATGTCAATCCCCTTCAGCCCAGAGTCTCAACAATAAACCAAGTGCTTGGCCTTCGAGAAAATCTCCATTATTCCAAACAGGCCCCTGCGGGTAGAAAACCAACATTAACAGATCAAAATCAAATTAATTATACCTGAGCTTTCCTCCTGTTCCTTGGGCAACAGAACATATACAATCACTCCACCTTCGTTATTCCTCATGGAATTGGTCAGCCTTTTTTCCATTATTTTATTGTTCCCAAACATAATAAAAGTCAGGAGTTCTTTGTTCTTCTTAGGTGTGTGTGTGTGTGTGTGTGTGTGTGTGTGTGTGTGTGTGTG